TTTCCGAAATGCTTTCCGAAATATACAGGTATATAGCTTAAAATTCCCATCACAGTCGATCAATTTATTAATGCAAAGTTGCTTTTTACGGCTTAATTCGCTTTAACTCAGTCCGTTGATTGATAAAAATAAAATTATTGATTTAATATCAAGTATTAACAAGACCAAACAAGATTTAATAGCATATACATATGCCAAGCATGATTGACCCGGCAAAATTGTTATCGATCATTATCAAAATTACTAAATGTAGAAATATTAAAGGTTCCTAGTCACCTAGTACGGATAAAACCATATGGTCATTACAGCCATATTCACGTTTAATATGTTCCTTTTAAATTTTTTAAATTTCGCGACAAAATCTGTTTACTTTTTTAAATATGCCCATTTAAATGCCCACTTTTCACTTTTTTCAAATTTCAAAAATTACTCTATACCTCAAAATCAGAATCACCGTTTTAAAATGCGAAGGAAAAATGCTTTTAAAACAAATTGGTTTTAAAACATCGTTATTTTATAAACTTCAAATCAATCAAGTACCACAAATCAATTCTTTTGGTTTAAATTATAACCAAATTTGGTTTGTTAAAAAATCAAAATGTCAAAATGATTACACCATCTCACTGCAAGACTACAAATATAAGTGGGCTTTCGGAAACCCCGCGAGCCACTGCAAGACTACAAATATATTAGGTGGACGTTCGAAAACTCGCGAGTCACGAAAGATACCTAATGGATAACTCGCGAGTTACGTTATACCGTAAAACTCGCGTCCCGAGCCTTATAGGGTCACAACGAGGGATGGTTGTTGAACACAACACAACAAGATTGTCTTCAAGATATTGCCGGGAGGTTTATTGATCTTGAAGGCGATAGTATTTAATATGAATAACATGATAGGATTTATTCTATTTCTTTTTTATATTATTTTTTTCTTTTCTTTTCCTTTCTTTTATTAGAGCAAGAAATTTCTTATTATTAGATTAATTGATATATATATTCATGCATTTTGGAAAAGTCATGAATTCTGATCAAATCATGGTTGTTTTATCTCTCGTGTGTCCATTAAAATCATAGTTGTTTTATCTTTTGTGTATTCATTTATTTTGACAGAATCATGAATTTTTAATATATTGTTATTTCATTTTATTTCGTGTATTCATTTATTTTATAGATTTCTTTTTTTTTTTAATAAAAATTTGTTTAATCTTCAAATATCGTACGAACTGAAAATTCTTAATTACGCTGGTATTGTCCCGTCCAAATTTTACGTGATAATGTAAAAAATGTAATAAAATATGCCGTTAGAAAATGTAGTTACATACAGGTTTTAGTTTCAAAATTCGTTATGGTGTTAATAAAACTATTTTATTTATTTATTTATTTATTATGTAAGGAGAATTACAATGAAAATCACATAACGAATAAAAGTATCGGAAACCATTATAAAACTTCGTCCAAACCAACAATATAAAATCCCTGGAGCGGACCTTTAAAGGAAATAAAAAGAAAATCATCCTTGGACTCCGACCAAGCCAGGACAGACGATTTAATAAAAATTAATTTTCTAATTTTTTTTTCCTTAGTATAAAAATTATCACATGATATTTAATTGAACATGAAAAATTAGACGAGATTTTTTTAAAATTAAAAAAAAAAAATTATCGCATGATGTTCGTGATATTAAACATGAAAAATTATTGTCCAAAAATAGATGCACGGGATAAGTCAGATACATACACCTCTAAAAAAAAATTACGTTTTATTTTTTTAATTAAATTCCTTTTCCTGTTGACGATCGCTTAATAATCTAATAAACATGAAAAAATTCGTTTATATAAATTATTTGTCTCAAGGATAAATTTATTTTTAATTTCTTTAAATAAATAGACAATAAATAAATTAAATGAATTGGTTGGTGCTTTTCAGCCTTTCAAACTTCAAACTGTAAATCCATAAATAATATTATTTAATAAGCCGGCCCTATTATTGTGCCTTTTTGCCTTTTTGCCTTTTTGCTTTTTTACTTTTTTAATAAATAAAAAATAAATAAAATAAATAAAAAATAAATAAAATAAATAAAAAATAAATAAAATAAATAAAAAATAAATAAAATAAATAAAAAATAAATAAAATAAATAATAAATAAATAAATAAATATAAATAAATATAAATAAATATAAATAAATATAAATAATTATTAATAAAAAATTATTAATTGTAATCAAATTTAATTGTAATCAAATTTTTTTAAAAAAAATGTAATAAAATTCAGCCTAAATTCTTAATTTTGTCTCAAATTTTTTTATCGATTAAACGTTATTTTGAGACTTTACAACATTAAATTAACTTTTTATATGGAACTAATATTAAAAAAATCAAGAAAAAGTCATCTTTAAGTTAAAGATAAAAAATCGTAGAGAACTAATTCTCATATATTAAAATAATATTTACAATGCGCAAAAATTGTTTGTTTATTTTACTAATTTTTATTTGTTTGTTTACACGTGCGAAAAAAAGAATAATATATAAGAAAAAAAAAAATATTTTTTTTGAAAAAAAACAAAGAAAAGTAAAATTGGATAAATGAAATGACGATTTTGGTTTAGTGTCACTACGCAATGCATTTTTTTCAATAGTTTAGACTTTATAAGTATTAAATTTTTTTTCATCTACATTTTTCTCAAAAACTCTATTCAAAAAAAAAAAAAAAATTACTCTCAATTATTTTATCTACTTTTCTCTCAAAACTCTCGAAAATTTATTCAAAAAAATTATTCTCAATTATTTCATTTACATTTTTCTTAAACTCTTTCGAAAAAAATAACTATTTAAATTATTATTTAAATTATTTCTTGACTCTACAAAGTACAAACCTTCATTAATTAACCTTTACAATCCTTAACAACTCTTTCAATTATCTCATAACCATAACAAAACCTCCCGAAATTCATAAGAACAAACTCTCGAACTTCACGAACCTCTCAAAATCCTCGCAACTCTCGCAAAACCTCACAATCCTCAATCCTTGCAACTCTCGCAACCTTGTCGCAACCTTGCAAACCTCACAATCCTCACAACAAATTCATGAACATCCAAAACTTCCTTAAACTTAACCTCATATCAATCTCACAAAATCTCGTCCTATTAAATCGCCAACCAACTTATCCGCAGTCATTAACCCATTATTGTCTTACGTTCATTATTTTATTTGTTTCATACATAATAGTTCAACTTCAGATCCTTGACCAATGTTCATTGGGCAAAAGATCTTGTAGATCCTTGACCAACTTTCCCAATAACATGAAAACTGTCTATTCCCCATTAGTAATTCGTATTATTCGCATTAATGCTGAATTAATGCAATAGGGGATACTTTTAAAAAGTATGATAACAAACTTAAAATGTATATAGAAGTTGAAGAATTTTACAGTATCAACAACTTCAACAAGCTCCTTTACGGTTGTAGCTGAGAGCAATTCTCATAACTACAATATTTTTCCTTCTTTCTTTAGCCGTCGTCAACAGGCTATTGAAATACCTTATCTTACACATTGACTAATATTAACCCTTCTCAATCTACTGAGACATTCCTGGGTTTAAAATTATTATTTTAACTTTAAACAGTAATAGGTTTAAATTCTATTCATTTATTTCTTTTATTTCTTTTATTTCTTTTATTTCTTTTATTTCTTTTATTTCTTTTTATTTCTTTATTTATGTATTTTTTTTTTTTTTTTNTTTTTTTTTTTTTTTTGTTTTTTTTTTTTTTTTTTTATCGTATTGCAATTCTTCAATAATTTACCTTTACCCCTTTAATTTTCAATAATAATTATTCTCGTCTACATTTTAAACTATAATTGCACTAAATATAAAATAAATCATACCTTCACAATCAAAAGAAACATATTTTTTACTTATATTTTATGAATTGAAAGAATTTTATGAATTGGAAGATAAATTTCATAATTTATTCACGTCTTTTGGTTAACATATCATAATGTAAAATAACTGTTACAAAGTTCACTATTCTCACCTTTGATGTTTTGATATCGTAAGTTAAACCGTTCTAGGGATATTGTATTTTCTTTGATATGCTATGACTTATTCCCTCTCTTTTCGCTCTGATAAATTTATTGGAAAAGCGTCGATGATAGCTGACATGCACCATCTATGCATAGTGTTGTGTCCAAAATAAAGGATTGCTTTTTGTTCTTAATGTTATCTAAGGAAACCTCCAGCGATCCTCTAAGACGAATGGGACTAAAAATTGAGAACTGCCAATCAGATCTTTATGTATCCATTATCTAAATTCAATTTCTCGTGTACATGTAAAAATTAAGTCTGGTTAAAAAATTTGAACGGATAGTCTCCATCATGTTATCCAGTTCTTATAAGCAAAAAAAAATTATTATTAAATAAATATGAAAATTACTAAACATCGTCTGGGAGATTATCACCTTTACCAGCATTAGGATGGAACTAGGGGCAGAATTAAGAATATGAATATAACTCCACCCAAAATGCCATCCTAATGCTGGTAAAGGCGATGTTTAGCAATACCCCGGTATTCATATCAAAATTGAGAGTAAATAAATTATGTTGCACTATCTGTTATGCAAACCTCGTTTTAGTCCAAATACTATTAAATTCTGTACTAACATAACAACATAACAAGTAGTTTATGATTATACTCGGTAGATTCAGATTATCGTCGGTATATCGGCAGACTTTATACAAATAAATTGACATTATATAGAGAACAGACGAGTGTGATTGAGTGAGTATAAAGCAAATGTTTACAAAATCAAAAAAATGCTTAATTTAGTTAAAGAACATTTCTGAATAATCTGATATGTTTTTATTATTTATAAAGGAAAGTTTATGGTTTTTATAAAAATACTCTTTAATAATAGATGATAAAGATGATTTATTTTTTTTTTTATACTTTTAAATGAACAACTAACTATAATACAGGATTTAAATTTACATGCTAATTTTCAAACACGCAATTTTTCAAACATGCTAAGGTTTTCTTCAAGTTTAATGGCTGTTTGTTGAATTGTGCTATTATCATGAGTTACGCTATTATCATGAATTACGCTATTATCATTAATTACGCTACTACCAACACCTTTACTACCAGCTTTCCAACACCAAAAGGAACCATTGTCACAAACCGCTGCAATCCATTGTTTATCCCTTGAAAAATTAACTTGTCGAATTGTGCTGTCACATGCTGAACTAAGGATAATAGGTTCCTTGCGTAAACCACTTCCATTTGCTGATACATAACTACTTGCCCTATCATCATTAGTTTTATCATTATTCTTATTATTAATCTTATTATTGGCTTTTTTATTCGTCTTCTTATTAGTCTTTTTGTTACTTTTTTTATTTTTTACAGAAGCTTTTTCCTTTTTTATCACTTGATTTTCTAATCTTTTCTTTTCGACATAGTAGTCACTGTAATCGAAGACATCCTTCATATCCCATAAATAAATTTTTCCTGCTTGATTCCCTGTTGCAAGCGTTTGACAGTCATACGACATTCCAAAGCGAAGGAACCAAAGATCACAATGAATAAATTCGAATTCACAAATTATTTTGAAATTTGATTGTCTCTAGAAAGTTGAATCCAAAGAAAGAAATATTATTAATTTTATTAGATAAAATTAAAGTTATATCACTTATTCTTACCTTACTAACGGCAGCTGGTCCACCTACGACCACTGTTGTGACATTAGAATTATCGGAAGGCTCTAATTTTACATCAGGCTTCCAAAGCAGAATCTTCGCATCATTGGCACATCTCGTCAGTAAGAGATCGCCGTACCATCTTATACAATCCACAAAGTTGCCGTGTACTCCGGCTGTTGAAAATATGGGATAGTGCACGGTCACTGCCTTTAACAGCGCGCTGTTCGACGAACAACATGAGGAGGCACGAGACGACGTAGACGACGTAGACGCCGATGAAAGTCTTGAATTTGTAGTTGAAGGTGAAGAATTTATTGCGTTCTTCATTATTGGTGTACACAACGACCAGATTTTTATCGTGTGATCCATTCCGGAAGACGCAAAAAAGTCTCCCGATAGATGCATATCCTAAAGAATTAAGATTTTAAAAATAGTTTAGTAAAGAATACATCTAAAAAGAAATGATCTTGATGATAAAGAAACGTTACAATGCTTACGATACTTAGCGGCGCCTCACGGTGGCCGCCCTCACCGGCGAAATTAGCGACGGCCTGCATAGTGCGAAGATTCCACAAACGTATAGATAGATCTTTACTAACCGAGAAAAGTAAAGATGGGTCCCTGGGGTGGACCTTCATTTCATGTATCTCCTATATTATATTATTAAACAATTTAAAAAATTTAAACTTTATAAAGATTCATTATAATGTTTAATCAGATAAAGTCAAATTATATTGAACTTACGCCTCCATGCCCTTGAAGGGTCTATGAGTATAAAAAATTTAACGAAATATTTGGTTATACAAGCAGTTTATCTTTAATTAAATCAATTCGTAATATAAAAATTTTATTATACCTTCGTGACGGACCCAACCGACGTATTTATAATTTTAATAACGGCAGTGAATCCTGCCACGGCGAGAAGCGGTGCACCAAATATTGGGTCGATAGTCCATGCACAGCAATATAAATCTTCCTTTTCCTGCATTATAAATGAAAAGTTATACTAAAAACCAAAAAAAAAAAAAAAAAAAAATTACACAAGGAAGTTTAAACAATTTACATTTTCGTCAAAGTATTTTTGTGTAACGTTTAAAGCTACCGACTTTTCGCTATCGAGGCGAGCAACTAAAACCTAAAAAATAAAAAAATTATAATATAGAAAGCTATTAAGATTAATAAGGACAAAATACACGTTACAATTTTTATCAAAATGATATACTTACATAACGACCTCCGACAACGGCAAAAGCTGTATTGACAGTATCATAATTATTGAAACAAACACTATAAAAACGGGTGGCTTGTTTTGTGGGTAACTTTAGTGAAATGAAATACACGTTTCAATAGTGTGAAAATAACGCGAATAAAATATAATTTCATAAACGATAAAATATTTTGTCCATACCGATACGACGTGCTTGAGAGTGTATGCAGACATTTTTTCTTGACGGATACGTGGTAGAGTTGAAAAAACTTGAAAAAGACAAAAGACAACAACGAGAAATTGGCAAAAATCAATTACGAGGTTACAATCAGTGAGAATCAATTCCCATCAGAAAATCGCGAAAATCATTATTTAAATAAAAACATGTTCCACAAGATTATCGCGTGTCGAAACTCGAAAGTGATGGAGGTAAAACGTGTGAAAAGTATTGATACGACTAGTCTTCTTAGATGCATACCCCAAACCTATCAAGGTCGATATTTTTGCTAGTGTGAGAATATTTGAATATTTGTGTAATCCTAAAAAAAATTTGAATTTCTTTTTTTAGAAATTTAGCGAGTGAAATTGTATTGCCAGTCGCGTATCGTAATATCTACAATATATTTTTTGTTTTGTTTAATTACTAGAATCAGAAATGAAGATTTCCATTGGGCAAATAAGAAAGAGAGACATTATTTTTGATGGGAAACTATGCTTAGACGGTTAAACGATATTAAATATGATATATACCTCCAATGCAGGGACGATAATTTTATGATGTGATAAAACACAAATTATTTATGTGCTAAAACAAAATTATGCGATTTAATTTTTTTCAAAAAAACTTCACATTATGTGATATTATTTGACGAAATGTGCATATTATTCGAAAAAATGCTTCATCCGTTCATAAAAATGTGAATTTATTTTTGTAATCACGTGGAAATTACAACCATGACATCACAAAATAATTCTGATAACGGCGGAAGAAAAAACTGGTATTTTACTGCGGAATATGCGTTTTTAATATAGGAGGTATAAATTATGCGATATTATGCTGTGATAAAACTAAATTATGCATTATCGCATATATTATTCGTTTTATGTGAAATTATGCAATCACATAAAATCATCGTCCCTGCTCCAATGTTGTATTATTTTTTATCATACAGTTTTGAGCGGATCTAACATCAAACTAGCAACTGGCTGCAGATAGTATCCGTATGATAGAGGTAAGAGTAGTTGTGATTGGTAATGGTTGTGGTAATGATGATGGTGATAAAAGAAATTGCATTTAAACCGACGATTTTCCTCAATTGCTAAGATTTTGTTTGTTTTATTTCACCAAACTCATTGCTCAAATCGAGCATAACAGATAAGGATTATTATTATAAATATTTAGTAGATCTCTCATAGATAATATGTAACTTTCATTATTTTTTAAAAAATAAAAAATTAAAATAGGGTTGCTTTTTCCAACTATTGTTTTAATACTACAGTATAATTATATGTAATTGCAAGATATACTGTACGTATCTAAATTTTGGTTGGTTTATTTTTAAAAACCAATTATTTTAGGAGCACGAGAGCATGGGAGTACGGGGACTAGGTAACATATTGCAAGATAATCACTTCAAAATATTAATAAAGTAATTTCAGTCTTTTCTATCATCTCCTTCCTGACATCTCCTTCCCGATTAAAATAAATTATATAAAAATATATACATTTATCTTCATCGATAATATAAATTACAGTGTACATAACTGCGGATTTGCTCACATGTCATAAATTTATTATAGAAATGGTTCTCTAATTAATTTACTATGTTCGGTTGACATGCGCCGATATGACAAAAAAAGAGATATCCCAGTCCAGGATAATCTTTCTTTCTTATCATAATTTGACCAATTGACCAAAACATATGCGCTATCTAATAAATCTGCGTATAAAAAAAAATTTTCATAAACAACATATTTACGGTTGAGTATGATATATTTGTATAGTTGACGAAAATCTATACAGTATAATTTTTTACTATACAGTACAATTTTTTATCTATACAGTATAATTTTTATCTATACAATACAATATAGTTTTTTTATACAGTATAGCATTTATCCATACAGTATAGCATTTATCTATACAATATAGTTTTTATTTATACAATTATACAGTATAGCATTTATCTATACAGAATGGTTTTTTTACACTATACTATACAACATCGGAGGTATATAAAGAAATATATAGTACTGTATATATAGTATTTTAAAAACAATATATGCCGGAAATCTTTTTATATTGATTTTATAAAAAGATAATTCTTTTAATTCTTTTATTAGAATAAATGGAATAAAATATTTTTTTACAGTTAAGCCTCCTTTTTGATCTTGAAAATCCGCTGTAATGCTTCAATAAATCGTGATCAATAAAAATAATTTTCTTTTTAGAAAGTCAAATGGATACATTGAGTAATTTGAAATATAATAAAATAACAATACTATTAATCATGTATTATCTTCAATGAGAAGAGTATTTTCGGAATCCGGATTTCGGAAAAACGAAAATAGAATAAATATTATTAATTAGGAATACTGTATGCGGGATTTTAATGACCAATATATTTATGAGACATCCAATTATTAGTAACATTAATTCCTAATGGTCAATGCAGTATTCCTAATGACTGAACTATAACTCAGTTATTGGATGGTCGAAGACCGATATCTCTTATTCTCTTTTCCCATCCAATAATTATTTATTATTTTTTTTTTTCATAAACCAAACAAATCGTTAATATACGGGGTAATGATAAATAGCAATTACGTTTACAGTAATTAATTGAGATCCTGAATGATAAACCAAACTTGGAATTTTCCGGAATTCCGGAGGAAAAAAGAACTATAAAATTTTATAATTTGCCGTATATTGTGCATAATCAATCATAATCAATATAATCAATAAACTCATATTTGTTAAATTTAAAGTAGTTCCTGATCTAAATCAATAACATCCTTTCCTTTTAGATTATACAAATAGGGATCGCGTAGAGTCCATATTAAAAAGTTTGATCATCAATCAACCAATCACGTACAACTAATTATGCACTATCATCAATCAACCAATCACGTATTACTAATTATGCACTGCGCAAAAATAATGAAAGCGTAGAGTCTCAATTTGAAATCAATAAATATCCATTCTTGGATTGTTTTTCATTGCATTCTCCCATTTTTGAATTATAGATTCACCAAATTCGTTTGATTCATTAGCCTCAATCCTTTAATCAGTGAATAGCCTTTCTAGTTTAGCTAAAATTATACAAGTTTTCAATTACTTTGCGAGTTTATTATAATAACTTTAGGAATAATGGACACGTACGTACATATCAAATACAAAGACAAAGAAATATTTTCTTTTTTTGGATTCATCTGGTCCCCTTTTTCGTTTTTTTGATTAAGAATTCGGAATATAAGCTCCGATAATCAAAAAAAGAAAACAAGAAAAAATTCACCAAAAATGTTTTTTATATTAATCATATAGATAAAAATCAAAATAAATAGGTGGATTTTTTATGAAATTTTTTTTAAAAAAAAATAACGAATCAAATATTTTATTAAAAAAAAAAAAAGATATTAACATAACGATATACAATACCTTTTATTTATCAATTTCTTTTCAAAAAAAAATAAATTATTAAAAAACATGTTTTGGTTTTTCTCTTGTAAATTGATGCAATTATTGTTAATTTCGATAAAGAAATCATGACACCAGTCTGAACTGTTTTGACATACTTCCAATAAGATAAATGATCGGTAAGTTTAATTTAATAAATAAAGTCGTTAAAAAAAAGGCAATTTAACTTTAATACTCTTTTTAATTTAGCTGGAGGAATGTTCTCGATCCACGTCGTAAGTAAATTACATCTTTTAGTATATATTTAAAAAGAGAGAGGAAAATAATTATGTTTCTTCATTTTTACTAATGTGTCGCGAACAGTTAAGTCTACGAGAGAGATGTTGGGAAGAGAGCTCGGAAAACATCACGGCGATCGTACCTACTGGCATAAAGTGCAGCAAGAAATCACCGAGATCGCCAAGGAACCTCCATTTGTTCCAACCTTTAACATATGCATCCGATCTAATAAGGGCAGTGGGGTGGGTAGGAGGGCTTACAGTACTTGAACATTGCTGTACTGTATATCACTGTCCTTTCGAAATACATCAAATTTTTATTTTTATATTCGATTTTCGTATTTTTTTTTTTCGATTACCCGTTTACGTAAAAGATTATCGTTATGTGTTAAGTAATAATTCTATTTTTATTATGTATTTATCGAATGTCTATAATTATACATTTATTTTTTCTTTTTTGAATTCGTGATTTCTTAAGAATTTCGACTTAGTTTTTTATGCTTTAATCTTTTCTTTCATATGATTTTTTCTTTATACTTATTTTTTTTTTATGTGTTTGTGAAATAAAATTTGCGTAATAATTAAAAAATTATTGTTTGATATAAAGCATTTTAAAATGTTTATTACAGATAATGTGTGATGTAAAAACTTACTATTCCTGTACCCGTGCGACAGCCTGACAGATCTGTTGTATATACAAAACTTCAAAATTATTAATTGCATTTAATTTTGACAAGTATTTATAATTTTGTCAATTGCTTTGGTCGCTAGAAAGTCGAGTCCTCAGATGAAATATAAACAGTGATGAATAAAATGTATGTCGATTTCACCAACAAAATTTTGCACTCACGTGATCCATTAAGAGTGGCAAGCAGGCTACACCATTTTTGGAAATGATATCGCAATATGCTCCAGACATTTTCTACAAAAAATGTTTTCCCGTTCTACAAGTATTTGATAAATGCTATTTTTGCAAAAATGTACTACAGACATTAACTCATTTCATGCTGAAACTGTAATAAGTGAAACTATTTTATAATTGTTAAATAATAATAATAATAAAGAAATTGTAAATATAATAAAATCAAATAAAATAAACCTTGTAAAAGAAGAAATAATTTTACAACCAAAAATATTTACTTTTAAAAGTATTTAGTATTATTAAATAAAGTATTGTTTTCTTAATAATTTACTTATTATATAAAACTCAATATCAGAAATTTATTGTTCTTTTTGATAAAAATAGTAGAATTTAATAGAAAATACCAGCAAACCAACATATTGCATATGAACGGATTCCAACTCAGTAAGTAGAAGGT